CTGTGTCGTTATTCAACACTTAATTAGATGGTTGTTGTTTCGACATTGTTGATGATGATCTTGTTATGTTGGTTGCCTTGGGGGCCAGGCTCTATGCGTATGCCTTAATTTGTAATCTATGCGCTTTCGATTCACCATTTCATTGAGCCGAACAGAGCATTAATTATTGCACAACAATGCGAATCCAATTAAAATGTTAATCTGATTGTAATCAACACATTTATAATCGCATTACGTATACGCAACGTTGTCGGCTGCCAATTCGATTTAACAATTAAGCAGGAAACACTCACACAGAGAGAGAGAGGCAGAGGGGCGAGGGGCGAGGGCAAGCGAGAGAGAGCGGCATCCGCGAAGTGGCAAGCTGTGATTTCATTACACAAACATCGAGAGCCAAAATCCAAAATGGGAGACGAGCCCGAAACCCGAAATCGAGACCGAAATCAATGCAGCGGCAAATAAATCATGCGACCGGTGCGACCTCTTAACAAATGCCAGGCCAAAATGAAATTTGCCATGAACCGCAAACACGGCCAGCAAATGGAAATGGAATTGGACATGAGCTGACTTCAACCAGAGCTTCCGCACAGCAGCTGGAAAAAATTATGGAAAAGTGGGAAAAAAATATGTATAAAACGAAATATGCGCACAGAAATTGTCACCAAGAAGCACAGAAGAAGAGGTCGAAAAAAGAAGGGTATAAAATCCGTGATGATTGAGTTGTAAGCGGAAATTAATGAACGGAAACTAAATGTCTGAGTGTTGAAGGTTTTCCCGATTTCCGGCCAAGCAACACTTTCGCCCCTAATACACATTGTATACATACAGAAATCTTAATGTTGCGAATGCGAATATGCTACACAGATCGAGTTATTTATGAGGCCCCCGCTGCACTGGGAGCAGCAATCACGTAGCCTGCCTCTGCTTTGATTAATGGCAAACTCTTCGATTTGTTGTGGCCCGCGTGAGTGCCCAAAACAAAGATCCCACAACTTTTCACCAAGAAAAAAGAAGAGGCAAACAAAGTGAAAAGAAAAACGAAGGGAAAAGTGAAACGAGAAAGAAAAAGACATTTCATTCATTGAAAGAGACAGAGAGAGAGAGAGAGGGAGAGAGAGAGGGAGAGAGAGCGCTGATGAGTTGTCTGTCTGTGGCAGTTACACCGTATCGAGCGTTAAGTTGGCTGAAATGGGCAGCTTGTTTGACTTGAATGTAAGTTGGCAATTCGATTGGCAACGCCCACGTGCAGCAAACTAAAAAAGTTGCCGCCCCATTCATCGTCTCGACCGAAAAATGTTTAAAAATTCAAGTTTGTTTATACGCTTTTTTGCGGCATTGATTTGAGCGTTTGGGTGCGAGATGTCAGCGCTGGGCGACCTTTGCTATTTTCAAGGCATCTCCAGCTATGTGTGTGTGTGTGTGTGTGTGTGTGTGTGTCACATTTCTCAAGTTGCAAGGTTGTGTTCAACAAGTATCTGCTGCAGCTGCCTTGACACACAAAGGCTCATGAGACATTGTGCGGCCAAAAAGCCTAACCGAATATGTACGCCAGCTGAGAGCTTTATGCAAATGCAGCACAGGCATACACCCTCACACACACACGCACACACACACTGTCAACCTAACGGCAACAGAAAACACTTCGTGAAATGTAAGCGACCTCGACGCACCGCCATCGGAAGAGGACAACTTTCATTTGCATTTAAAGTGCTGCCATATGGCCAACAACAACAACAACAACGACAACAACAGCAACTACAACACATGCCCAACCACACCCATATTCACACCAGCATCGAGCATACGCATTTGATATGAAAAAATATTGTCAAGTGTTATTTAAAGCATCGAATATATGTATTTACCATCTATTGCGACGTCAGAATATTTGCATTTAATTTAGGGCTGTCAAATATGTTTAAAATATCGTATCGATGATAATTTAGGTTTTAAAAATAAATATCAACTCAAAAATAGTCGATATTTGGGTAAAAAAAGAATATTCCGATATAAATAAATTTTTTGTTGATAAATATATCGATATATATTTCGATATATTTTCAAAAACTTCTCTGATTTAATTACAATTTGCTCGATCTAGAGTCGATTTCAACTTATCCAAAAGAATACTCTGCTGATTAAATAGATAAAGTCTAACTTAGTTTACTATGTAGTCGAGATATAAAACTTGATGTACTTTAGCAGAATTTTCCTCTGGCAATTGGGCTGAAAACTTTGCCATATGATCGGGCAATTTATGCACGTTGTCAGCCGAAAGAGTTTGTAGCCGAGCATCAAACGACTTTGTATACTAATTGCTACTTTATAAACATGCAAATGGCTGCGCGGTTAAAAATTAGCAAGTTTATGAACTTGGCCTGTCAGCGCGAGCTGATTTCAAATGGCAATCAGAGAGCGTGGCTGCGGGCCATGGGCGAAAGTGGGACGAACAGGTGTTTAGCAGGCAGGCAGGCAGGCAGACAGACAGACCGAGAGACAGACAGCTAGGTCAGCTGCTGTTCTATGTATTTAATTTGAAAATGCGACACAGACACTGCGGCACAAAGTGTTTCGTGTAAATTAAATTACATGCGCGTTGATGCTGCGTTTTTGGCTCGAACAACAGGCCGAACTGTAGGCAGGCCGAGCAGGTGGCCAACCGTTCGACCGGAACTAACACATTAAATTTTCATCTAACCAAAAGTCCCTAAAGTTGAAAACAGTCGAGGCTGCTGCTGCTGCTGCACCAACAAAATTACCACAAACGCTTTTCATGGCCCGGCCAAAGAGCTAAGCCCGCAACCAAGTGTAGGTACGTAGTTAGGCACACGTCGGTCTAAAGAGTGTTGCAGCTTGCGGTGAGCCCGGAACACGGATTTCTCCACAGCACAGCATCGGCCACAAAAAGCAGCCAACACTTAATAGAAAGCGCCGCATTAAATGTATTTCGCTGGACAACCTACTCCATATCATAGTTAATCTTCAGTGGAAGAATTTTATGGCAAACTCTGCATGCGTATTAGTTGGCTGCGCATTTCAGGGGACTATTTATGGCACAGCGCTTAAGCATTTATATTATTTACTGCAAAAACACATTCATTATGTTTCATTACCGTTTTGTTTGCATAGCTAAAGAGCTAAAGAGATAGAATCAGGATTTAGGCTCATCCATAGATGCAACTAAGTTTGATAAATGATTTCACACAGACTTTTTGGAAATACATATTTCTTTATTAAGTTATTAAGCAACTTTCGTTATACTCGTTCACAAAGTGATGCGAGTATATTACTTATATCCATGGTAGTCATGCTATACGCTAGTTATATAAAGACCTGCTACTGGGAACATTATATTTATATGTATCTTCAGTGCTTAATAAACTTTAAAAAAAACCCGCATCAATCAAAACTTTCACGCAAGTTCCTGCTGATGTCATCTATTAATTTTCTAAACTATATACAATATACAATATACGATATATTCATATGAATATCTAGTCTCTAGCTGTTTCTACACTTTGATAAAGCAGGAGAATCAATTAATACACGCTTTTATCGTCAATGCTGACAATTATTGAAAATTCCAATTGGAATATGAAAGAGTATATTTATCAGCTCAAACTTCGAATGCTCGTTACTTTAATAGAAATATCCATCTTGTACAGTAACACCCCTAGTGACATAAATATCACAGATGTAATGGGCGTGGCAAAGCATAACAGAAAAAGTATGTTATAATTTTATAGCAAGTATTACCAGATGAAGGTCACTATTGATCTACATTTTAGCTAGATAAATAGATAGCTGTATGAGCACCTCCTATAAGGCTTGGTAAATCTAAAACCAATATGCTTGCAGCAGTTTATCTATATTCTAATAAGTCTCTATCTATTTTACTTTATAATACATGATTTAAATAAATCATTTTTGTTTAGAAATAATTTAAAAATCAATCAATGTATTCAAATAATTACTCGAGTAAATTCTAACATTTCATGCATGTTTCCGTTTACATAGTCATGGTAAATGGAATTCCTATTTGGCTTCTTTGCTCACACTCGATTAGCAGCCTCGATTGGCATGCTTTGAGTTGGCTTTTCAGATTTTCATGATTTTGCTGCCAGCATTGTTTCAATTGATCGGCAACAGTTGTCGAGTGAACAATAGCTATATGTGCTTAGTGCTTTCCACTTTGAAGTTGATTGCACTTGAGTGCAACACTCGAACAGTTAATGCACCACCACCACCTGCAGCTGCTATCTGCGGGCTGTCAGGCCACACGCACGCCTTTTGCAGTCGGCCAGCGCCAGTGGAGAGCGCGTTGCATCGATGCATTCCTGCTGCTCAGTCGAGCAGTCGCGCAGTCGAGCCTCGATGTGTCGCCATCGAAATTGCTAAGCAAAACTGAAGAAAACTTTGCTTTATTCTGTTATAATGCAACACACGGAAGTTGGCAACTCAATTAGGCCAGGTGGAAACATGATTAAAACTGCTAACAAACAAGGGAAAAGCCGAATAAAAAATTCATGAAAATATTTAAATTGACTTTGGAAATATTTTATGAAAATTGTTTTCTTTCTCAAAATACTTATGGTATCAAAAGGGGAGTGAAAATATGTATATAAAAACGGTATACCTATGGCAAAATAATGGGTATATTGGAGTTAAAAGGAGGCATGACAGAGTCTATATAGCATATATAACATATTTTGATCAGAATGATAACAAGTTAGATATAAGCTATGTCTATCTGTCCGTAGTGATATCTTAATGTTTACATAATCAAATAATTCCTTTCCGTAGGTCTGCTGCTCATATGTCGATTTCGAACTAGACCTAAAGTCTTGAATGTTAAGTCCACCTGTAGCACTTGCTTATAAAACGAACTCAATCGAAAAATATCTGAGATTATTGTAGATATTATATACATTATGATACATATATATTATAAGATATATCATACATTATTATTATGTATTCGCAGATACTATTTGATCCACTCCTGAGATACATTTCCTAATTCCCTTACAATACTTGCTGTGAGAATGCTGTGACTCAGATACACATTATCGTGCTAGGCCTCTCCCATGAACACATTATTCGGATAAGATAATAAAATCTAATGTTCCTCAAGTTAAAGCCCAACGACGCCCAGCATAAAGCAAGAGTCGTATGGGAATTTGTAATATGTATTATGTTTGTATATGTATTTATATATGTATATATATGTATATGAAAAAATATGTTAGCAACAGCAACAGCAGTATTCGGAAGACCTAAAAAAAATTAGTTTATTCCTTAAATTTCAATATACAAAATCATCTTGTCTAACTATCTGGCAATTATTTATGCCAATACAATAATTCGTTGTGTATGAAAAATTATTGCAATACTCAACTTGACAAGTAATAATAGTAGAATCCTATTAGCCAGAAATAAGGCAACATCGAATAAGAGAAAATCCTTGGCCTCTTGTGCACCTCATTGGCCATAAGCCGCAACTGTTCCCTAGTACACGGCATTCCTCTTATCGTGTTGCTAGCCAGCATTTAGCCAAGTAATGCCTGTTGTTGTTGTTGTGCTTTGTAGCTGTTTTATAGAGGCTGAGCATAATAACTTCCGCAAAATAAAACGAGATATCTATTTAATTCAATATGCGCTGCTAATGCAGTGAATTGCCAGAGCACAGAGAATCGAGCTGGATGGCGAAGAAATAAATATAAATAAAACTAAAATAAAATGCCAATAAAGGGAACAGCTTGTGCGCTACAACTACTTTTGCATGTATGCGTATACACACGCACGCACATACATATACACACATATATGTGTATAGCAAGAGAGCGAGAGAGAGAGAGAGAGAGAGAGCGAGAGTAGTATATATTACTTGTACTGGAATAGGAAGCGGAAATGCGATTTTGGTTTTGTTTCTCGCCAGCCGCCCGCTAGCCGCTTCGCAATCCCCTAAATACAATAAATTGTACATTTCATTTAATTCCATTTCATTTACAAAAGCGAAACCAAATCCAAGCAAACAATGGACCCCATTGTGGGTGCTGCCAACAGCGACTTGCCGAACAACAATGAAACCAAAGAGCGCAAAGAAATATAATAAATAAATATAACAATTGAACTCAAATGAAATGAATGAAACAAAGTGAAGCTCGTCATGAGCTGCTGTTGCCAGTGTTGCCAGTGTTGCTGTTGCTGCCTTTTCGCAGTGTGTCCTGAATACCATATACATACATAACGCACTGCAGCGACTTTGATAAAAACAGGATATGGCAGCAGCTGCTCGAAATGTTTTCGCATTGCACATGCCCAGACCCGTTTTGTTCTGGCCTTCTCTCAGCTTCAGCGTCAGCTTCTGCTTCGGCTTCATCTTCAGCATCAGCTTCAGCTTCAGCTCATTCATCTTTCATTCACAGCATTTTCCGTCTCCGTTACTGGATTTGTACTGAATATCTGAGACTTGCAGCCAGCGCAAGTTTATTTAAGCTGACTTCTTTTTATGCCCGAGGCACATTCCTTACGCCATCTTGCTTCCCTCTTGCCCCTGGCACAATGTACCCATTGAAAGTGAATAATGGTGGGCATTATGATTGATATACCAGATACATTATGTATATATATAAACAAGTATACATATTTATATTTGATCAGCTTGTATAGTGAGCTTATCTTGTCAGTCTGTTCAGCATATTTCATTCAGATACTAGTGCTATACACTTTAAATATTGAAGGTAGAGCGTATCGAGGATTACTTATATCTGCAAAATCGATAGGAACCGATTAATTCGTGCATGAAGTTGAACTGAATTCGTCAAAGTTTATTGCATCTGAATTTTTGTTTCCATTTTTTTCGGTCTTTTGCTTTTACTTCCTATTGCCTTCCTTTATATCCTATATATAAAAGTGTATAGTGAAGCTTATTATTGTTGAAAAGACTATAAATAGACCCCACTATATCAAAATACAATAGAATCCGGTTATAGCATCTTTTGTGCCCCTGTAATCGTATTCCACTGTATACATAATATACCAATCTCTAGATACCGAATAACTCTGTTATATTTATAGAAGCTTCCCTGCATCTCGTACAGAGTATCAGCCAGTCAGTCACTTTTGCTTCAGTTATTTCTTTCAATAAAGTTTATTCAACTGTTTTCCTTTACTTTTTATGCACTTTCAATGGGCATCATATTAAACAGTCGCCGTCTTTGATGTGTTTCACAACTTTACATACGCCCCGAACTTTGTGATTGAAAACAAAGTTATTGAAATTTTGTTTCCATAAAAGTTTTTTTTTTTTCCTTTAGCATAATTCAATCATATCCGCTCAGCAGCAGCAGCAACAGCAGCAGCAGCGGCTCTGTGGTAAAATCCCTCGAACGCAATGCGATTTCCGAGAACAATTGAGCGATTTTTATTTTCATGAATTGCTTCAGACTGGCTCGACAACATGAGAGCCAGGAATTTGTAAGGAAAGTGCCAAATGCTTTGAATCTGAATTGTAGTTTGCTTTCGTAACTGAGTTTGCCAGGCTAAAAAGGATGTGAAAGTGCAGTTGTAAGGAATGTTGAAAAGAAATTTTAAAAATATGACAAGAATTTCAGTTGTAGTTTGCAAAAGCTAACTTAAGTTTTTAGTATACCAATATTATATGCATAATTAATGGAATATATGGAATTTCTTGTATTTTCAGTGATACTTCGATATCGACGAGAGTGGACATGCTCACGCCAGCGATTGAAGTGTATAAGGCGCCTCTCTGACACAAGGATGACACTGTGGAGAGCAATTTAGGGAATCCATCGACGAGTAGCGATTTCTAGCAGAAGCTAATCATCACTGCGGAACTAACTACGGATAATCTATTTGTTCTTCCAACATAGTGTCAATCAAGTCCAGCTAACTGAATTCTAGAAGCCCAAAAACCATGGCCAGAGCCAGGGCCAGGGCCAGGGCCAGGGCCAGCGCCAAGGCCGTCGATAAACTACACTGAAAAGTTTTAGCAAAACAAACCAAAATTATAGAAAAAACTCATACATATATATTCATATATAAATATATATGGCACACACTTGCATGTATATGTATACCTGTATATGTATATGTGTGTGCAACATAAGAGCATGAATAAAATAATAATAATTGATCCAACTGAATAATTCCTAAGATTGATTACATTTAGTTACTTTTTAGCGTAAATGATTTTTAAACCTGGCAGAAGCAAAACCAAGAAGAGAAAAAAAAAAAACAAACAAAGAAACAGAAAATAGTCTTAAGCATAGGTTATTCAATATATGTATATGTGGATACGGATATGGATATGGATATATACTCATGTATGGCAACGCAATATCGCATATTTTCATATGAATACGATGAGTGGATGGCAGTAGAATTGAGGCTGCATCGGCAAGTTATATGAAATCTATTATGAAATATGTAGTAGGTGTATATTAATGCGAGGAAAATGTTTGCAATGTGTATCGAAAATGTATATTTAGTTATATAAAAAAAAATAAAAAAAAATAAAAAATAAAAAGCAACAACAAATACAAAAGAAAATGCAATGAATAATTTTTGTACTGCTAAAAATGAAGAATAAAAAGAAAATAATTAAACAAAAATTGATAATTAGATGTAAAATTTTTGCATAGTTTATAAATAAGTTTGTAATGCATTAGTAACTAATTTATGAACAAAAAAAAAAAAACAACCATTAAACGAATGCAAATTAATAGCAACAAATAAATTGAAATTCTCGAAAAATTCCAATTCCAAATTATTTTCACTCATCAGCAAAATTAAAGCAAAAAAAAAAAAAAAACAAAAATAACATGCGAAATGCATTTTGGGTATATTTATTTAATTAATCAAATTTCACGCAACGCTATTTATGTTTCGAATACCACGAATACTCTGAATATATATTTTAGATTCAAATATTCAAATATTCAAATATGACGAGCGCACAGCACAGTTAGTTGTTGCATAGTTATTCGTTGATTTATTTTGTAATAGCTGAAATATTTAGTAGTTAATGCTTAATGAGCCCTTCACAAAGTGCCCCCAAATTGGTAAACAAGAAAAATGATTTATTTCATAAATATTCGATAATAGGCATAATTAATTCAAAATTCACATTTCTCGCAACTTCTATTTCTTTTACATTCAAATTGTATGGTCAGGCCCATTGAAAATGGGAAATGATTTTTTTTTATACTTATATCAACCAAATCAAATCAATCGAAACAAAGCAATTTAATTCCCAGCAATTCAATTCATTGAAACTAATGATAACGGTATTAATATTTGAATACTTTTTTTCAACTTTCTTGAAGCTTTTAAAATATTCTCGGCCAATATGTTTTTTGTACGTTTTAATTACAAGTTTCTGCTTTCTCAGCTCATGTCATTTGAGTTTAATATATTTTATTTTCATTTATTTTCTATTCATTTTATCGACTTAACCTCTTATAATTTTATTATTTTAGATATTATTTTTAATGACTCATTTTTAGGTTCCCCAAAAGCCAGAGAGTCGTAAAAGTTTTCAGCTTCAGAAGCTTTTAGACCACTTCGAGCAATTGATTCGAACTAACTTTTAAATTTTTGCATCTAAAATTGTGGTAAAAGCGGTTTGATAATTCTCTGTCCAAAAGCTTTCACATGTTGCTATATAAGCTTATGGGAGAGGAGATTTAGTATGGCTAGAAAGTGCATTAACAGCTTTTTTCTTTAATTTCACTACCGAAGCTTTCATTTCCAAGTACTTCCTGTGGAATACTTACCATATACATCTTACTTCGATTTAAATAATATCTTTGATGGAATACAGGAATTTCGTACAATATTTATTGGTTCAAAATCAGTTAGAATTCTAATTCTATGCAGTTGTTTTCATTTTAAGCTCTTGCCATTGGAGCTTTGCTAAAACGATATATTATGTACAGCTTCATTTTGATATACGCCGTACTTCATACACAATCCAAAATTGTGCTTGACAATATAATTTGAAGAAAAACTAAAGAAGGTTTTTTATTTTGCAAAATATGCCACTCTACTTAGAGTTGTTGTTAAAATATGTTTTCACTCATACAAAAGAAGGGAAATATGTAGAAAAGCCACGGCGACCCATTTACTAGATGATGCCTACGATGATGCCTAAGCAACTTATAGAAGTCGAGTTGAGTCACAGCTGACTGAATGGGATATTAAATTGTTAACATTAAGTGTTTTGAGGATTCGCGCTAGAATTCGGTATGGGATACGGCAATTGCATCGTTTTTGATATATTTTCATTTAGATAAATGTGAAGCCGCTAAACTTACAAATGAAAACAAAACAAATTGATAAGTTCATACGCCAATGATATTATCAAAATGTTCATAGTTAAGAAACAAACAATAATAAAGCAAATACATGTTACATACATACATACATACATATATATATATATATATATATATATATATATATAT